CAAAAGTAATGGAAGCAAAGGTAGAAGTAGAGGGATGAAGAGGTACAGAAGTGAAAGGAACGGATGAAACATAAGGAAGTATGAGACAAGGGGGAGAAGCCTTAAAGTCACACTTGGCATGATTGTGCTGCAACCAATCTATACCAAGAATGAGGTCAAAAGCTTGACTCAACACCACCCGCAACGACTGCAACTCAAGCTCGAGATCACCCACATGCACAACCAAGTCCGCCTCATCTCGTGCACATGCATGTGTACGGCCGTTGCCATAAAGAATGAAAACTGGATCCACCGCACTACGCAAGTGTAGATGACAACGTGTGGCAACAGGTTGAGCAATATAAGATAAACTCGAATCTATATCAACCAACACGGAGAGAATAATAGGAGACCTCTTGTTATAAAAACGAGCTTGGAAAGTAAACACTGGATGAACCGGTGCCGAGTGAACCCCTTGATGATACTCCCGAAAGAAAGATGGAGGGGTCACTAACTTATTCGCGCAAGGTCCTCCACTCGCGCGACTCCTCATTTCCCGAATGCACCTCGGTGTCCAAACCTTCCACTGCAGCAGCACCAACGGGACGTTGCTGATGCCAAGGTCTCCACCCAGGAAATGGAGGTCGCCAATCCGGAAAGTGCTGACAACGCTGATAAGTATGACCAACTTCATCACACGCCCAGCAATGAACATTACGGCCACGTCCACGTCCTCGCCCTTGTCCTTGGACACGAGCAGCAACAGCATTAACCTCCATTGGAACAGGACCATCACTCATAGGAAGTGGAGTAGAAGGACGTGCAGCGAGAAGTGGAAGAGGCGACATCTCATAATGTTGTGCCAAGCGAAGAGCATCATCAAGGGTGGCAAGAGCAAGTGCATGCACAAGGCCGACAAGATCTTGACGAAGTGTTGGCCACAACATTCCTAGCTTGATCCTCTCCGACATATTGGGCTCCGCACGATGCAAAAGACTTCGGAAACAAATGCCAAATTGCATCACTGACTCAGATGGCCCTTGGTGAATACGATGCAATTGTTGGAAGGCATCGTCACAATCGTTGGCATGTTTGAAGGCACGTTTGAAGACGGCTGGAAGAACACTCCAATCCCCACGAGTGGCCGCACTCAATCCATTGTACCACTGCAATGCCGTCCCTTGGAGACACATGGGAAACTCAGGCAAACGTCAAGCATCATCCCAAGAATGATATGTGGCAATCACTGTGAAGTAATCGAACCAATGGTACACATCATCCCCAAGATTCCTATGAAAGAACTTCAGCCGAACACGAGGATTGGCACCAAGAGCAGGAGGAGTTGGACCATGTGCCATGAATGCCGCCATCAATTGAGTTTGGTTGTTGAATTGCAAGCGCATAGCATCAAGCAATTGGACCAACTGCTACTCTAGAGTCAATGGAGGAGATTGCTGATCTGCCATGAAGACGGACAAAGAAAGAGCAAAAGAAGAAAAATGACAAAAAACGAGAAGGAAATGGGAGATCTAGATAATGCAAAAAGCTAAATCTAAACCAAAATCCTGAAAGGGAAGAATAAAAGAAAAGAAATGGAAAAAGTTAGATCTAGACGATGCAAAAGCTAGATCTAAACCAAAATCCCAAATTCAAGCACTCTTTAGGGGCAATCAAAGGTGCCCCTCACCTCCACCAATGTGAGTGCTTGGAATATGGAAAGGGAATATAGAAATGTGTGCATATCAATTAATCCAAAAACCCTAGCTTATATACAAAAGCGAGTGGTCCGGATTGAAATCAATCCAACAGCTACTAAAATCCCACTACGCTAATATTAGTATATGGCATCATAATCATACACTTGGCCCTCACAAGAGCAAATAAATATCAAGCTGCTATTAACATAAAAAGAAAAAATAAATTTGAATAACAGTGGCCTATGGAACTTAATATCATAAATTGATGAAGGATCAATGGAATGAGTGTTTTGATAAGTCTTAAATGTATAATATTTAGGTTGATGATATTTAAATGAAATTAATATCATTATTATTTATTAGTTAAATAATTTATTATGTATTACACTTGATTTGCTTAATAGTAATGCTATTTCTATTTAATGCTATTTATTAAACCATGTTATTCAAATAATAACATCATAGAAACATGACTCCCAGATTCTTTCAAAGGCCAGGCACGCTGTTGCTGCTGTGATAGCTCTTTGGTATTCCTCCTGCCTCACGTCTCAGTAGAACACCGTGATCAATGATCTGGCACGCTCGGTTCTATCAAAGAGCTCAGATGATCCCAAGCGCTCCAAGCTTTCTCTGGTTGCAAGCTTTGGAAACAAAGTCTGGGACGCTCTTGAGATGAGGTGGAGGGTGGTGTTTGGCCGTCCCGACTTGTTGGAACGCAAGCTTGTTCTTCTCCAGCCTCAGCACAGGTTCTCTTGGAACGACTGCCACTCGGGAATGCTCCTTCCATTTGGCTACGCAGCAACGCTAGAACACCGACGAGCTAACAAGTATCTCCTCCATCCCGAGCTCAGCTGGACCGAGCCTCTCGACGGCTAGTCTATGCACGACATCTTTGCATCTGGCGAGAAGTATGGAGTCTCTACGAAGAACCTCTGCAGCTGCCTCTTCTTCCACGTTGACAGCCCTGCTCACCAAGCTCGAGGTGCGAGTTACGTTCAAGTTCTTCTCTGAGAGAGCTCGCACAGGTGTTTCGCAGGGATGGATTAACCTTCCAGGGGATCGACACATCAAACTTGGCAGACGCGATATACGTTGGAATTCAGAGGATTCTCATGGACTGGGGGCCGCTGCTGGAAGATAAACAGGGTGTGAGCTTACAATCTCGCTCATGAACTGGGCGAAAGACCGTTCTTTCAGTGACGCTGCTGCCACCACACCTCCTCGAGCGTAAAGGTTCGTGTTTCATGGACAAGTGGATGCTATGCATAAACTCTGCGGTGGTAGAACTCTTCCCTGACAACAGTGAGGAGTTCCAGGAGTATCTGGAGGCACGAAACGCGATCGTTGCAGCGCGACGGCTAGGAAAGAGCACAAAGTTGCGCCAGGGAGGCTCTCGGATCTAGAGAGCTGCGTTCCTAGCATTGCCGCCAGTGACGACGAGATTGACTGCCTTGTTTGTGTTGTGAACCATACACTTAGCGAAAGGTTCATCGAGTGGATCCCCGGCTCAGCGTTGAATCGCCATCTCCAACTTAACTATTGTTTAGGAGTTGTAATGCTTTTTACAACATGCTCTGCACAAATCGTCACGTGTCATGCCAAAGAAAAAAGCTGTATTTAGTGACATTCTATGCTTTGCATTGTCGTTTCCAGTTTTAGGTTGTATAAATTGGAAGGGAAGATTATTGAGAGTGTGAGTGATTGGTGTTGATAATCCATGGCTAGTTCAAGCCTTGCTGTGCTCTGCATTTCTCTTGTGGTCTTGTCTGCAGGATTAGTAGCTTTGGCAGAAGGTAAATTAATATAATTTTATTAGTGTTAATCAAAATTTATTTCTATTCAGATTTTAAAGAGGATGAATATGATACTAAGCATTATGTCAAAAGTGGTGTTGCCAGAGATGAATATAAGACTTCAGTCACATCACAGCATCATATATATGAAGATGATAATATAGGGTAATAGTTCTTTCTTTTTTTATTTTTGGCAGTAACAAATGGTTATTAAAAAAATATGCAGGTCAATGTCTGGTGAGGAGGAGGAAAGTGTTAAGGGTTCTGGTATCTATAACTTTTGCAAGCTTTTTTGTGGAAAGGGCTTATTCCTATGGAAAGCTTGCAAGTCATGCCCTGCTTCAGCTCCAGCTCCAGCTCCATCTTCTAACCATCACTAAGAAAAATTGACTCTTTATAATAAAAAATAAAATAATTGCTACATTATTCCTTATATTGCCTTGTTTGTTCGCTCCATAAAAAGCTAGAAAAAGGGAAGTGGAAAACCTAAGGGTACAATGGGTGCGAGGAGGAAGACAACGACGACACTGCCGCAGGAGCTTGTGGAGGAGATATTGCTCAAGCTGCCCTACTCGTCGCTCATCATTGCCAGGTCCGTTTGCAAGGCGTGGAAAGCAGCGGCGGACAGCTCCAGCGTCAAGAGCAGATACAGGGACAGTGGTCGCTTCTTCGCCGACGCCAACTCCATCACGGACAGCAGCGACAAGCGCATACGATGGGCGCCGCGCGGTGACTACCCGGACGTGCTGTGCGCAGTCTCGTCAGAGGACCAGCGGTGCGTGCTGGCTCGCTCTACACAGCAGAGGAAGCTCTTCCTTGGGAATCCTTTTCTCAACGTGTGGCAAGAGATTCCCTACAAGGTTTTCGGCGACTGGTCCAGGGCTTGCATCCTGCGCAATAAGATTGTGGTGTGGTGCACTGATGGCATGCTTTTCACCTGGACACAAGGAGACGAGGGTTGGTCCAACATTGAAAGTCCTGTGGCTGATGACTCCGAATCTGACTCCGAAACTGAATTTGTGTTGAAGCCTGTGGTGAGTGGCAACAAACTGTTTTGCCTGGATTCCTTGCGCTACCCGAATCTGGTGGAGTTCGACACCACAAGTAATAGCTTCTCGTATACTGAGAATGTCTTGCCCAATGGCGAGGACAATTACCTCGCCGGCGCTTGGAAGTCCAAGCTCTACGTAGGGACAGTGATTGCCAGCGAGCGTAAGGTCCAGATCTTGGAGCTTGAGCGGGAACGTGGCGTGGTGCTCAGGTTGGTGAGCGAGTATGTGATTGATTTCCAGGCCAATGACGGGGTTTGGTTCATTGGTCAATCTGGGAAATACCTGAACTTTTGCGGGGAAGATTGCGACTTGATGAAGACGGAGACGACCTACTTCTCCTACGACATGGATGCCGGGACTTGGGACAAGCAAATGCACTGGGCTGCCGCGGCACCTGTGAACATAGTGCTACATTGATCGTTTGTCAAAACAATTGTACAAAGCCTTGCATTTCATGGGGGATGATCGACTATCATATCTTCCAACTCGGTCAAACAGGTCAAATCTCGTCAAATGAGAGAGACAAGCATGGCAAAGAAAAAAGAAAAAATGTTCTCACAATTGATACAAAGTTTTTGACGTTTATTTCTCGCCGAGCACTTGCTTTCTTTTCTTCACCGTCCCTTTCTCCCTTTGAAAGTTTATTTTGGTTGCCAAAAAGCGCCAGTCCCTCTCTACTTCCTGCGTTGGGGGATAGAGTTAAAACCCGAAAGCGAAGAAAAGGAGATCTTACTTGAATCTCCTCGCAACTTCTTCGTATCTTGGAACATGGACGACTGAAACGGAAAACCAAGCGCGAAGAATTTAGCTAGCTGACCAAAGCACAGTCCAGCTTACCATCTCCCCAAGAAGCCATTGTGAGCGGCGACGAAAGCAATTTACTCGCAGTGGACGTGATGTTTTCCAACGTCAATCCCTGGACAGCACTGATAAAGTCCTGGATAGGCTTCCTCTTGCCGTATGTGAGAATTTGCCTTCCAATATCTTCCGTGACAACGACCTGGATGGATCGAATAGAGCATGTCGTGAGATGTCTTTTTGGAACAAAAGATTCTCACCCGTGACTCGAGATTCATGAGAACAGCGGATATTGTTGCATTCTTGGCGCGCTCCAATTCCTCCTCCGTCACTGTTTGAAAGTTACCGATTGATTTTCTCGCAAAAACATATTGGAATTACCTTCACCAGCCGTAGCGACAGTCGTGAGCTCGTCTGTTGCCAGATCGATAAGGTTGGGCACGAAGTCGGAGGTCTACAACAAAAGCGAAATGAGAAAAATCGAGAAGACCACTATTTAGGCTCTAAATTCATACCGAAGTCGCATGAATTCCAAATATTCCGGTGTCATTGTAGATACTGTTGAAGGCAGTGAAGGACTGCACTTTGTCGTAGTGATTCAGGACACGCGTATCTGTTGACATGTCTTGTTAATCCAAAACAACGTCTGTAGTACTCACATAGACGAGAATACATCCCCTTCCCAGGTCCCCCAGACGAGAACGAGCCACCTCCTCCAAGTAGTGTCTAAAATCCGGAACAACAACAGTCAGCGTGAGAGTGAAAAAGGCAAAACACTTCCTTACTTGCAAAACAGTAACAGCGAATGAATCGTGCTCGTTGCGCCAGCCGCCGGGAACTTCGAAGGCAAGAGCAATATGTGTGGTCTAGAACATAACATTAAGCACAACGTTTCTAAGTAATAAGCTAGTACCGGTGAATCGGCAGTGCCACGCCAGTCTCCACCAATATACTCGGAAGGTCCACAATCAACACCTTTCCCAGAAGGCCAATCGGTGAGCAAAGGTTCGGCTACTGCCATGAGTTCTTCATGATCTACTCCAGAGGCAGCCAACACAATGCGACGAGGAATGAAGTTATTCTGCAGCAAACGAGTTACTGAATGTCACGAAGAAACTATAAACACTTACCCTCACGAAGTCCGTAAGAGTTGCGCCATCTAGCTTAGATAGCGCAGATTCGGAAGCCAGTAAAGGGTGTCCAATGGGGCCGCTATAACCGGCAGAATGCAGTGCCTCCAGTAGAATACTTTGAGGATTATTGAACATTTCAGCCAGCTCCGCCTTGATTTTGTCGACCTGCAAAACCATCACAACCATTCTAGAAGAAGTTACAAAAGGTAGTGGCCTTGTTACCTGTTCGTGTACTTCCCAGCCGTGGAAAGCGGGATTGCGAACACTGTCCACGAGCAATTCGACCATCTGAGGCATGTAAGTCTTGATGGTGTCTCCAGTATAGGCCATTTGTTCCCGTGTTGCCGAAGCCATGATATTTCCTCCGATTGCTTCCACTTCTCGCGTCAACCGGAAGTGCGAGCGGTTGTGTGTGGACTTGAAGGCCATGCGCTCCAACAGATGCGTGGCCCCGGAATTGGAAGCGTCTTCATGGATGCTACCAGAGTCTACGTAAATCCCGAGAGTCGCAGTTGGGCCCTGCGAGCCAAAAAGCAATCAAACAATGTGTTCTATCGAGCAGACTTTTGAGAATAGAAAAGTCCACTCACTGCTATTTGCTCCGAAGCTATCCTCACACCGTTGTTGAGCGAAGAGATTTGAGTTCCCGAAGGTTCCACAGTGTCCTCCAAGGAAGGAGGCAAATTTACCTCCGGTAAAGCCTCGTAGAGAGCTGGGAGCGTTGGCAGTGGCTCACGGAAAAGCCAAGACAGCCATCCTTTGCTGGGGGTTCTCAGCGCTGGAACGGCTTGGCTAAACGGCGTGGAGGCGTGAAATCCACGGGCTTGAGCCTGCGACAAGATAGATCCACAAGAATGTAGGAAATTTCCAATCAGCCCAGCAGATCAAAACCTAGAAAAGAAATGGAGCTGCGAGTGGAAGGAGAAATCCAAGAAAAAGAAGCTAGATTGATGGATTGAGAGGAATCGATGCGAGCGTACCTTGTATTGGCCCAGGCGCCGGTGAAGAGCAGCTCTCACAACCATGGCGCAAGCGCTGCCCCAGAGAAGAAGAGGAAAGAAAAAGAGAATTTAGGGCTAGGGTTAGGGCTTCAAAGATTAATGACACGTCAAAGTTTTTTGAAAATCCCGTTAGGGCTGACTAGGGCTTTTAGTGGCGGGCGGGAATGCGAGGATGATCGCCCAGCTCTGCCTCATCGTCTCGCGCCTCCTCTTCCGGGCTCTGGCGCGGCCTATCTGGATCTTCACCGACGCAGTCCTGGAATGGCCGCTCTTCATCCATTTGCTGGTAATCGCCAGTGCCGTGTGGATCGCCGGCTTCGCGGGCTTCAATTTCCTCGTCTCGATCCTCCTCTCGGTGCTCTACCTCCACAGCGTCGACAGCGTCCAGAAATCCCGCCTGAGAACGCAGCTCCAGTTCCAGATCGATCACGAGAGTATTCGGGGCGTCCAGGTCTCGGATAGCGAGACTGTGACTTGGTTTAATATCTTGCTCCAGGAAGGCTGGCCGACCTTTCTGGAGCGGTACCTCGCCAGGAACATCATCTATCTCTTGGACGTGAATCTCAACTATTACAAGCCCCGGGCAGTGAGCAAGATCCTGGTCGATCGTCTCCGCCTTGGAAACTCTCCTCCGGTTGTGCACTCGGTGAAAGTTTATCGAAACTCGAGCGCTGGCGAGCACGCTGTGATCGAGATGGATCTCTCGTTTGTGGCCGACGAAGACATGCAGTTGGAACTCATGGCTTGTCTCAAGAAGGTGTCGGTCGGGTTTGGATTTGCGGGCAAGCTCTACGGGACCAACTTGAGGATCGAAGGGAAGCTCAAGCTCGGGTTTAAGTTTGTGGCTTACTATCCTTACGTTGGTCAGCTCTCCATCGCTTTTGTGACGGCACCGTTGCTGGGATTGAGTGTCAGGCCGCTCTCGTCGAGCAGTGTGGATGTTACTGACTTGCCGCTAATCGCTTCCTGGGTGGTACGTTGCTAGCTCTTGAAAGTGATTGATTTCTTCGTTGGTCCTTTTTCAGAGCAAAGCTGTTCAAGCAGCTATCGAGACGTGCATGGTGGAGCCTTACCCTTTGGTTCTTGACATGATACGGTTGTTTGGAGCCGAGTATGATCTCGACATTGATAAAGATGGCGTCAGGCTTCTCCCTGGTAAAAATCTTTGTTTTTCATATATGACTGATGAAACGTGAGCAGCGAGTCTTCATGAGATCAAGGAAGCCGCATTCGCGATACTGGAGATTTTGGAAGGCAAAGACTTGGAAGCCAAAGACAGATCGGGTATGTCGCATCAATTCATTTTTCTATATTGCTACATCCACAATTTTTTGTACAGTACAGGCTACTCTGATCCATACGTGAAGATAAAAATGGGCAAGCTAAAGTTTACGACTTCTGTGAAGAAGCAGACGCTCAATCCCTCATGGCACGAGCTATTCCGGGTGAGGATAATCAGCTGGAATTTGCCTTCCAAGATCCATTTCCGTGTTCGGGACCGAGACAAGTTTGGGAAAGACGATGAGCTCGTAAGTCTTTTCTTTTTCTAGCTCGGAGATTAATCTTCATGGTGTTCTTGTGATCGATCCCAGGGGTGGTACGAGCTCGACTTGATACACTTACGAGGTGGAGACAGGCACGACATGTGGTTAAAGCTGCGAGACGTAAGGAAAGGCTTGCTTCACGTAGCCATTTCCATTCTCGAGCCTCCCTCGAAGATAGTCCAGGCAGCAGCAGGCGTTGGATCTCTAGCAAACAGCTCCACGACGCTTAAGGTGGCTCCGGCTCTGGAAGGCTACCTGGTTAAGCCGGGACTGATGGAAGCTCTCCATCTCGGTGACGTTTTGGATGCTCCAATGGCTCCAGCAGCACTCGTGGACAAGCCGGCTGCTAGTGTAGAGGACTGGAAGCTCGACGCAGTGGATCAAGGCAAGAGCATAGTCGATCTCGGGGAGTCGTCTCTCTCACAGGGAACAGTAGTGAGGTGCCAGAAGAGGCTTCTCGGAGGCTTGTACAAGAAACTCCAGCGGCGGCAAAGCCGAGATCGAGAACGAGCAAGACCAGTTGCTCGTCGCTACCGCGAGCAACGCATCGGAAACACTGATGCAAGAGCGGCTAAAGCAGGTCCGAATCGTGGAGACGCTCTAGTGAAGCTAGCCAAATCTCTTTCACAAATTTCCTTCTAGATCCAAGTAAGTTCCTGGATCAACAACAAAGTTTTTCTAAAGGTTTTCGCAATCCAAGTGATATTCCCGAGTGGATTTGACAAGAACAAGTGGTATACACGTAAGGATTTGGTGGAATGTTGCATCGCCCACGATCCTCACATGCGACAGGATTGATTTTCTTAAAAGTATGGCAACTGTGAAGATTGAAACTGTTCTTGAAAAACCATTCTACGAGCATGGGGCCACACCAGGCATGAATTTTGCGCTTTTTCTACGATTCAGTGCTCGGCACGATCCATGATCGTGGAGTATGGCCGTGAGCCGTCGATTCGATGCGTCCGGTGGCGTGGCAAGATTGCAGCCGCTCGATTGTGTTCTAGTCAGTGGAGTTCCTCGTGCCTTCTTCTTTCGTAAAATATATTCTTCGCCTCCTTCGCGAGGATGGGATGTAAATTCCATTCTTTGTACAAACGCAAGAGGGCGAATCATCGCAGCTTTGGCGGAAGGCTTGGTCAGCGATTGTGGCGAGCAGCAAGACGATCGAGGTCAAAGGGCGGGAGTTCTTGCCTTGGGCGATTCAATGGCCGCGATTGCTCGTTCTTGGTAGCTCTCTCTGGCAACACTGGCACTAGCATTTCTTCGTACATCTTTTCACTGTGGCTTTGGCGGTGTTCGCTACGAAACATGTGAGTAGAGTTTGTTTTCTCTGTTGGTGAAAAACTATTTTTTATTTTTTATTTCTTGCGGCTGATTCATAGCATGGATTCTTATCGATGGAATGAAATGTAGATGGGACCTCGCACGGATCTCCACAAAAACTTTAGAGCAGGAGTGATGTGAAAGCATCTTCTTCGATCACTGCTCACTTTTCTCCAGGCGATAAACAATTGTGTGGTGCGTTGTTTCTTTGGTTCTTGGTTGTGAAGTTTTGTGATCGTTCTTTCTTTCCAGTCACACGATGCGGGACGAAGATCCCGATCAAGCCACCAAGGTGGTGATCGAGATGGCCAACGACGATGGAGTTTCAGTGTCTAGCGATCGTCCTCTCCATCGCACCGAGTCCATTGCTTCGGGTGGAGGCGAGAAGAGATCCACTGTGGTCACGGCCATCAAAGTTAAGACTGCTTTCACTCGTCTCGCCAGCACTGTCAGGAATCACAACTCTCCAAAGGCCACCAAGTTTGATCGAGCGAAGCAAGCAAAGTTTTCCAGGACAAAGTCCAATGCCCTCCAGGGACTTCGTTTCCTTACCGGGAAGAACAAGAAGAAAGTGTCGTGGCTCGACATCGAAAGGAGATTCACGGTGCTTGCAGTGGATGGAAGCCTTTCTCGTGAAAAATTCGGTGAATGCATAGGTGAAGTTCCAATGTTTTCTATCTTCCTTTTTCTTTTCTTCTTCAATCTTCTGACTATCAAGCTTTTGTGTTCTTTGCTTTCAGGAATGGAGACCTCGGAATTTGCTCAAGCGCTCTTCGATGCGCTCGTCTCCAGCAAGAAACTCGAGAACCAGAAAAGCATTTCCAAAGAAGTTCTTCACGCCTTCTGGCTGCAAATGAGCGACGATAGCTTCGACTCTCGTATGCAAATTTTCTTCCAGATGTAAGTTCTCGATTGTGATCAAGATGCAGTGATTTCGAATCGTTTCCTCGTTTCTCAGGTTCGACAGAAACGCAGACGGACATATATCAGAAGAAGAAGTCAAAGAGGTGATTGATTGAGAGTGAGTGACAACCATCTTGCTCTTCTCTTAACTCTTTTTTTTTTTTCCTTGGTGCGGCACAATCGTGTAGATTATCATGCTTAGTGCGGCAACCAACAAGCTTGCCAAGCTCAAGGCACAAGCCGACGAGTTCGCCGCGTTAATTATGGAAGAGTTGGATCCTGACAAGAATGGCTTCATTGAGGTAAATATTTCCACGATGCCATGATCGAGCTTCATAGTTTTCCTTGTCCACTTTTCTTTTTCCTGGCAGCTTTCGCAGCTCGAAGCTTTGATGAGAGTTCCGGAGCCAGCGCATGCCAAAGACTCTTTCCTCAACTACAGCACAACCATCTCTCGGAATCTCGTCGCCGTCAAGCGGAAAAAGCACACTCCACTTCTCTCCTTTTGGAAAGATTCGAAGTTCTACCTCTCCGAGAACTGGAGGTACCTCATGTTCTTCGGACTTTGGATTGCGACCATGGCGGGATTGTTCGCGTGGAAGTTTTTCGTGTACAAGCAGCGAGCAGCTTTTGAAGTCATGGGATATTGTCTGTGCGTCGCAAAAGGTGCTGCCGAGACTCTCAAGCTCAACATGGCACTCGTGCTTTTCCCGGTCTGTAGAAACACCATCACCTGGTTTCGTTCGACCTTCGTCGGCAACATCGTCCCTTTCAACGACAACCTCAAGTTTCATATGGTACGTACAACCTTTGATCTTTTGCTTTCGTCTTCTTCTTCTGATAGTTCTTTTTCGTCCAGATGATTGCGTCTGGTGTTGCAATTGGAACTGTGATTCACGCTGGAGTCCACTTGGCCTGCGACTTCCCGAGAATTACTAGCTCGTCTGACGAGCTCTTCATGCGCACCCTCGGCAAAAGTTTTCACTACAAGAGACAAACGTACGTTGATCTGCTAAAGTCAGTGGCTGGGGTTACTGGGATCGCGAGCGTGCTGCTCATGGCTTTTATATTCCTGCTAGCGACGCCATGGTTCAGGCGAGGCCAGGTAAAGCCACTGTGGCCTTTGCACAGGCTAAGCGGATTCAACGCCTTTTGGTACTCGCACCATTTGTTTATCTTTGTCTACGTCCTGCTCATTGTCCACTCGCTCTTCATTTATTTGGCACATGGATGGTGGCAGAAAACGGTTCGTAAGTGGCTCCTTTGGTCTTTGAGACTTGTTTTTCCACTGACGAGTTTTCTCTTTTCTCTCGTTTTGGTTTCCTGCACAGACTTGGATGTATGTCGCGATTCCAGTGGCTTTATATGCCTCCGAGCGATTGGTACGAGCCATCCGTGCGGGATTGTATACAGTTCGTGTAGTCAAGGTCTGGCACGAAACTTTTCTTTAGGATTTCGTTCATGGTTTTGATTGAGCAGTTTAACTACAGGCTGCTGTTTATCCTGGAAATGTCTTGGCTTTGTACATACAAAAGCCTCGCGGTTTTAAGTACAAGAGTGGCATGTATCTCTTCCTCAAGTGCCCGGCCATCTCGCATCTTCAATGGTCAGTACTACTAGTTTCTTAGCTTTTTTTTTCTTTCTTTTCTTTAGTCAGCAAGCTTTGATCTTTTCATCACAGGCATCCTTTTTCGATCACTTCTGCTCCAAGTGATGACTACTTGAGCATCCATATAAGAAGTGCCGGGGACTGGACCTCCAAAATGAAGAAAATCTTCTCAGAGGTACGTATGCTGCCATACATTTGAACTCCAACTTTGAAAGCCGTGTACAGGTTTGCCACAAACCCGAAGTTGGCAAAAGTGGCCTGCTCAGAGCTGAGTATGTGGATCATGATCTGGAGTTCCAGTCACAACCAAGGTAGGAAAAATAGATTAGAATTTTACAGAAAAGCTGTGCCTTTTTTTTTCGTCTATTGCAGGTTTCCAAAGCTACGAATTGATGGTCCCTATGGTGCTCCAGCACAAGATTACATGAAGTATGATGTGCTGCTGCTCGTTGGTCTTGGCATTGGAGCAACACCTTTCGTAAGTATTCTGAGAGACATCTTGAATCACGTCAACAGGGATGTGGAAGTAAGTTCTTCCAAGTTACTCAAGCTACAAACTCATTCTCATTCCGTTGGGATCGCAGAACAATGGGAAGAAGAGCGGTCCTACAAAAGTTTACTTCTACTGGGTGACTAGAGAGCAGGGATCTTTCGAATGGTTTAAAGGTGTCATGAACGAGATTGCAGAGATGGATCACAAGGTCGGATTTTTCTCGCATTCTTTTGCTTAATAGTTTGCATGAACTTTGACGAGCAGAGAGTTATCGAGATGCACAACTATCTCACGAGTGTGTACGAGGAGGGCGACGCTCGATCGGCACTGATCACCATGATCCAGGCTTTGAACCTCGCCAAAAACGGAGTGGACATCCTGTCTGGGACTCGGGTACGTACGAAGATTTCTTCTAGTTCCTGTAGTTTCTAAAAACTGTCGCTCCTCTCCAGGTAAGAACACATTTTGCGAGACCAAACTGGAAGACGGTGTTTTCACGGCTCTCAGCAGTTCACAGGCATGCTAACATCGGTGAGTGATGGATTCTCAAGACAAAACTTTGGTCTAGCATCTAGAAAAGAAAAAAGGAGCCATCACTCCCGTTTTCCACGTTTTGTTCCTTGCAGGCGTATTTTACTGTGGTGCCCCAGGAGTGGCGAAAGAATTGGACGCACTGTCGCGAGAGTACACGCACCAGAACTCAACCACCTTCGATTTTCACAAGGAAAACTTCTAAGAAAAAATTTCTCCTTGCGAGGAAATATCTTGCGCTCGAGCTCTGCTCTCAATGTACAAAGGAGAGAGAAAGGGAAAAATTAGGCGCTTATAGCTAGAGCTTAATGTTTCCGTACAGAATATCGGAAAATGCGATGCTCTTGTGCTGGGCCATATTTGGCCATGCTCGTACGCATTTGCCAATGTGTTGTGCGAGACCTAGTTCTGGCGAGCTCGGCCAACAATCAGGGTTTTTTCGAGAGGAGCAGTGCGAGAGGGTTTTAGGATCGATCGGCAGCGTCGCGGCAATCCAGGTGAGCTGCCAGGTTTTCTCTTGGCGTAGATTAGGTCTTGGAGGATCCGGGGGCGCCGCGGCAGCTCGGCGGCGAAATTGCCAGAGTGTGGGGGATTCGCGATGGATTCCAGGCGCGATTCGCAGCAGTGAGAGGGGCGGCAGCTGTGTATGGATCAGAGCTGGGAGCGGCAGAGCTTCCTGAGGCAGGAAGACAACGTAGAGCTGTGGGATAGGGAGAGCAACACCAGTGATGAGGAGTCGTCCATTGGCGAGTACGAAGGCACAGATTTGACGATGATGCCCGTGAACGAGGTGGACTTGGAGGAGCTGTGCTGCGAGTTTCCCAGGGACGAGTTGGGGACCGTGCTCGATGGGCTCAACAAGTTCCCATGGACTGTCTATCCCATCCATCTCAGGAATTGCCTCTCGGCGGCTGCAAAGATCGTGAGTGGTGGCCGGGAAGAATTCGGTGGGGACTTTCGCAAGCTCCAGACTCTGTACCGGGAGGCTGTGCCGAGCGCGTTTGAGAAGTGCCTGGACGACAAGGCGATATGGAAGTGGACCAACGAGATCCACAACAACATCTTCGATGCCGTGTGTAAGCTCATGGACTTGGTATCCGTCAAGGCTCCGCAGCTGCTGCTCGACGACGTTGGTGTGGACGATGACATGCTGCCGCTGCTCAGGACGCTCGCCATTGCCTTTGACAAGCAATGCCAATTCCATCTCAAGCACAAAGAACAGGGTCTGCCACCCTCGGCCTCGTCGGTTTCTCCTCCCTGCAACTTTGCGAGGCCGATGCCCGGGACGCCGTCGAGGAAGGCCAGCAGCAACAACGACTGGCATTGTGCGAACCGCAAAGGCGCCGCTGTCAGGGACGAGAGCTGCGACTGCAACAGGTGTCGTCCTCCGGATGTCTACTGCTGGCTGGCCTATCTCTTGAACTACTTTGGCCACACGGCTTACGGGAATGGCTACCAGCATCTCCTGCGGGTGCTCAACTATCCGCAGAAGCTTTTGCCGGCGGTGATGGAAGCTCTGTTGCTTCCCATTGCGAGGTCGACGGAGTTTATCACGGACGAAGTCGCCAGCCACCTTGGCGACCCTTGCAGCAGGATTTTGAGATACGTAGAGGACCTGCTGGAGAGAGACGTGGATGCTCTTAGCGACAAGACGAAAGACGGGTCTTTTGGAGCGTTGTCGCTGATACTGAAGCACTTGCAAGTCATACTCGGTCGGAGCTCGTCGGCGGAAAAGGCTGAGAGCATGACGAGCATTGTGCAACGGAAGATGGTGGAGCGCATGCTGGGATTCAACTCGTTCAATAAGCAGCTGAGCGCGGTTCGGGAGATCAACAAGCTCCTAGAGAACGCTCGAGCGATAGCTCCAAGGTTCGTGTTGTTTTCTAGTTCTTACGTTAAAGCTTGATGTTTCGATTGATACGTTGCAGGGATAAGTCGCGGTCCGTTAATGCAACAATTCAGTGGCTCGAGCGAAACAATATTTTGCGGCATGTCCTTAGGTCCCATCTCCACCACAAACAATACGTAGACCAGGTGAGTTTTACACTTGTTGTGGCTGCGTTTGAGTTTACCTTTATTTAACAATGAAACAGGTAGAAAAGATTATGAGGTTTTTGCTCCAAGAGCGTCGCCTTTCAGAAGAGCATATTGATGCTATCTGGGCAGCCACTGAAAAGCCGGACCAATTTGAAACGGTAAGTTTGATGTTGTTTGTACCCTCCGGAAGATTACGCTCTGTATTATTGGCAGGTCAAAGCAAATATCTTTGATCTTCTCGCCGATCTTGCTTGGTCATTTTCAGCCGAGCAGCTGGATAGTCTATTTGGTCGCTTCGAGCGCAGCCAGGTACTTCATATCTCTCTTTTCTAGTGTGTCACTTTTATGTGTGACAGGGGCGCTCGCCGTCAGATATCGTGAAGATCCTCTCTTTAGTTAAAAAACTCGCCCGGAGTGACACAAAGGGAGTTATGGCCCAAAGGTGCGTGTTAGTAAGTTTGGTTTCTTATGTTTATGTTTTATTTAGGCTGCTGGAGCTACTCTGGAATATGATGCACTCTGGAGAAGCACCTGCGGAAGTTCTTGACTCAGGAGCTCTCACCGAAATTCTCGGCCACTATGACTCGGTGAACTGTGCTAGTAAAGATGTGGGTCAGAGAGGCTTTTCCTTTTGGCAGTAAGATTTAGTGGCACTTGCTGTTAGTTAGTCTCCTGTGTTCCTGTCTGATTCTGGGTTTTCACCGCCGATTTTAACATGTATTTTCGCTTTGCAGGAATACATTTCGAAATGCCTGAAAAATGTAGAGCATGGAATCTCGGTGATTCCGTCTTTACGTCTACTTCGTGAAATCATACTTTTAGATAACGAGAAGCCATTTTACCAGGTAAGCGTTTTTTGTGGTTTTTTTATTCTCTCGTAACGATATCCACAGGATGAGGTTTCTCGTCAAATGCGCCTTCAAAAGCTCATAAAAGACGATTGTTTTTTACTCATGGTAAATATTGAAGGTTTTTATGATTTAGTTTCTCAAACTTGCTATTCAGGTTGTGAAGAGTTTGGAACAGTACATGGCCCACGCTCGATTGATGTGCTCTGAGAAGTTAGTGGTGGCAAAGCCGTCAGAGAAGACTGCAGCACCCTATTCCATTGCAGATTGTCGGTACACCCATGATCAACACGTGAAGGAGCGCTTGGAATTCATATTGTTCTCAATACAGGTATATTTTGCACTGCTCCTTTGCGGTTTAATGGTTGGTACAGGCAGGCGATGTTAGTTTGCCTTGGGATGCTATGGAGAGGCTGTGGAACTGCATGATTGAGTCGTCTGTGTTCGATGCTGACAAGGAGAGGGGGTTCCAATGGCTGTGCGATGCTCTTGAAAAAACCCCGTGCTTGTCCTTCGACGCAATGCTCAACATTCTCACAAAGAAACTTACCTGCATGGACCCTTGTTCTCTTTCGGAAATTGCCTGGAGGTAAGCTGCATGCAAGATGGTTGACACTCTTCATGTATTTTACATAGGTGCTTTATGAGGCTGTTTCTGTGGGTGAATCTTTTCGAGAAGAAACTTGTGCGAATAAGAATCGATGAAGGGACTGAGACGCACGACTTGCAGCTGATTGGAATGTCCTACATGTGGCAAGCTGCTCTTTCGTCACCTGTCAATAGCATTGCGGAACAGAGCATAAGTATGTTGCGGGACATCCATACTCACCTCTCAGACAGCCTGCGGCAAAATTTGGTTCAAATACGCCAGTGCTTTATCAACGAGTGCCTGCGTAACTTGACTGCGGCCCTTGAGAATGGACACAGGAATACGGAGGCAACAGATAGTAACAGCATCAGTATGGTTGATGGGAACGTAGATGTCCCGGACGTGGAAAATTTTACCGAGTCGATAGAAAGTGAGGCAGACAAGCCGTGCACTGTGAATTTTGAAAAGGATCCGTACAAAGTCGAGCGCTGCCTACGGATACTAAGAGTAAGCCTTCCTTTCCGTTTTTATGTTCTTTCGATACTAATACTTAACCGTTTAAATTTTCAGGAGTTTATTATAAAATGTGAAGGATCCTGCCCTCGTAAAGTTCCTGCGCATGGTGCTTCATTTCAAGGACGACCGCTTACTTTGGGGGTATTTGTTCAAAATGTGTGGTAAAGTTGTAGAAAACGCGATGTTTTTCTGTAGGTTAGCACGGCAAATAAGCAGTCGACACGTTTTGACATTCTCGTTCATGCAAACGAGTACCTTGGTTCGTTCCGAGCAAAGGTAAGATTTATTTTAATATTTGTGGTTTATTTCACCGCTCTATAGGTGGCTGAGAGGCTTGAATGTCCCGTTTCTCGTGTGCGTTTGATGCACGCAAACAAAGAACTTAAGCAAGATTCACAGGTATGCTTTGCCGCTATAGTTGTTTCTGTTGGCTAGAAGGATGCATGGCAGGTGTTGCGGCAGCTGGGCTTAACCGATGGTCAGCCCCTGACTGCGTCGGTATGTTAGCTTGCTTGTGATTCCTTTTACTGATATTCTTGCAGGTTAATATCGTGGACCTTGTTGAAGAGGAGATGGATGAGCTGCAGCTACCGGGACTTCTGATATCAAAGAGTCCTCAGGTACACGTCACACCCACCCTATTGTCTCTTGTGCATTCTGATTATCAATTTTGCAGGTCTACGATATCCTTTTCAGACTTGCCGAGGCGGGTCACGGTGGTGTTCGGGAGGTTAGTCAGCATCGTACATTTCATGTTTTTAACGGAAATTTAAATGTCAGGAAGCAAACTATCTCCTTTCATTGCTGCCAACACATCCTGGAATCCTCAGTGAATTTCAGGTAAACGTTTCTTGTTTTTGCGTTGTCCGAACAAATTATTCATGACACGCGGGACAGAATTTACACAAGAAGCCAGTGGCCAAAGCAAAAGAGTTTCTTACTTTGCAATTTGGAGCCCACTGTCGACTCCTGTATACACTTCAGGTATAGATACGAAATTTTACGGGATTTTGATTTGTTTTCTTTTTTCACAGATAGTGGACGGCTTGCTTATGCCCGTCAATCGAAATGTCGAAAATCAGCGTTTTAGAAATGACTTTATTCGATTTGGAGGCTTTCGGTAAGTTGTGTCTACCAATTGTTTATCATGACATAACAAACGAGTTCCAGGCATTTAATGACGGTTTTCGAACCTGGTGCGATGATGGGGGTTGATAGTCAGACACGGCGTGGCTGTTACACTAGCGCCCTACGTATTTTAAAGCTTTTGGTGAGTAAGAAATTGTGTTCACAAATCCTTATTAGTTCCGAAATGTTCAGTTGTCAGAAACACAAACTACTTCTCTTTCCGACAACACTCGAATCATCGGGTATGTATTTTCAGTACCAGACAGGGAGCGATTTCTGATGTTTTTAAATATGCAGAGGAGATACAGTCGAAGAATCTGAAAGTGGGAGCACCATCTCTGTTAACGACGACGTCAACGTTGAAAAAGTAACCAGAGTAGTTTTCCGACAATGACGTATATGTAAACCTTTTCTTTGAGCAGCTGGAAGTGATCGACATGTCAGTAGTCGCAGGTGCTCTAAAGCGACTTACTTGGGGGACTGCACTAGGCCAAATATCTATGCTAGCCAATTCTGCGCCTTTGGCTAGCCAATTCTGCGCCTTTGGCGGAGATTTTGAAGGGTCGAAGGTCTGAAAAGGTGACCAATGTCTAATTTTATGTGCTGACCCTGCTATACTGACTCTAGACGTTATTCTTGCAGAAGTTTGAAAACAGTGGGGACTTCTTGAACCAGGACGATCGATACCTCTGCCTTGAAGCGCTGGAACTTCTTGTAAGTTTTTCTCTTTTATTTCTTTCTCTCTCTAAATCATACTTCTTACCAGGTGACATGCCTGCTGTCACATAAATCATTACTTGGAACTTTCTTTTCATCTCCCGACGTTGGCAGGTTTATTGTGGTACGTATTTTGTCTCTTTTTCTACTTGTATCAACTTATTTCTTCTTAGGATATGGTTTTACATTCACCTGACGAGTTTGTCAGATACCAGGCAGCGTCCAGCTTTCTGAGATTGAGGTGAAAGATGTTTTTTGTTCAGAATGTTGTAACAGCTATGATTTCTTCAGCAAAGAATCGGGAAAACATCCTATCGTTCGTCGGCATCTTATGGCCGCCCTCATTGACACGAAGGCGGAAGCTAACACCGAGCCGAAGCGCTGTTTACCAGTAAGTCCAAGTGACGTTAACGTAGCGACTGAGCTGTTTTGTTTCAGTTTTTGGAGCTCTTGGGGCAGCTCTTTTATCGCATCAGTGGGCCTGAAGAGCATGCAATGGGGGAGCAGCAGCTTCTGGAAGAGCTTTCTTGGCTTAGATGTGCACCCGAGGCCACTGATGACGATGACAGGGTGGGTTATTTTATTGTGATCGCAACTCTCTCTCATCTGTTTTCTCTGCACAGCTTCTTGAAGGACACTTATTTTTAGTAAAAGTGTTGATAGAAGTTCTTGATCGACGTCTTATTGGCTCGAGCAAGTTGCCTCAGGGGACCGGCCTAGTGCAAGAGGTACTAAATTTCTGCTTGTCGGACCAGGAGAACGCTAACAGTGATAATGTGCAGCTGGTTGAGAGTTTCTTATTTCTAGAATCGGCAATGCTATGGAAAATCGACGATGACAGCTGCGACAGGCTCGATGACAGAGTCCTGCAGTCGAGGTGCGGGACTCGTCGTAGTCGCGAAAAGGCTTTTCAGCTGCTGACTTGCCTGGCCACCCACTGCATTGACAACTTGAAGGAAATAGTGGATCTGCTGGTGAAACTTCATTTCTCATCCGATATTCACGAATGGGAGCACTTGCCTTCGTATGGTCGAAAAGCTCTCAGTGGCTACGTCGGGCTGAAGAACGCCGGAGCCACCTGCTATATGAACTCGGTCTTCCAGCAGTTATACATGCAACCGGATGTTCGGCGGACAGTTTTAGAATGTAAGGAGTGCGACGACATGGAGAAGGCAGACTCAGTTTTTTTTCAGCTGCAAACCATGTTTGGGGCTCTTCTTGGCAGTAGTTTGGACCATTATACTCCTCAGGGATTTTGGGATGCGTACCGGGACTACGATGGGATGCCGATCAATCTTCGGGAACACCAAGATGCTTTTGAGTTTTTCAACCGCTTATACGATGCTGTTGATGATACATTAAAAGCGACACACCAAGAGACAACGCTGACGAAAATCTTCGGCGGCATTTTTGTCCAGCAGGTATGCTCAATTGTGCCTGTATGTCCTGGGATCATGACATTTTGTTTGTATCTTTTTCTTTCTTTTTCCCCAGGTGATTAGTCGCGGGTGTAACCATTGCAGCGAAAGAGACGAACCGTTTGCAGCGATCAGCGTGGATGTGAAGAACAAAAGAGATTTGCTCGAATCTCTGGATTCTTTTGTGCGAGGGGACTTGCTCGAGGCTGACAACGCATATTACTGTGATGAATGTGGCCGGAAGGTTGACGCACTCAAGCGGGTATGCGTGAAGTCTCTTCCGCAGACTCTTGTGATTCACCTGAAGCGTTTCGACTTCGACTACGAGACCATGCAACGGTTGAAGCTCAAGGACAGATTCGAGTTTCCGATGCATCTCGACATGAAAGCTTTTACGGTGGAAGGATTGGCCCTCCGTGACAGCATGAGTCAAGAAAGCTCGAGCCCAGCCACTACAAGCAATGGTGGTACTGATGGAAGTATCTGCAACGAGAATGGGGGCCTGAACTCCAAACCGGACTCTTACTATCAGTATGACTTGGTGGGTGTAGTTGTACATTCGGGGACCGCATTTGCTGGACATTATTATTCGTATATTAAAGAGAGGCAAGGGGATATTGAGAGGTTGGTACTACGATTCTTGGATCCTCGCTTCTAACTTGCACCTGTGCATTCCAGGTGGATTGCCTTTGACGATAAACGAGTGGAACCGTATGACGTAAACGATCTCGAGAAGGATTGTTTCGGTGGAAAATACAGCGTGGACGTGTATGATAATTTTTTAAAAACCATGTCGCCACAGGTACACAATTTGGGTGTCGTTTCAGTTGCTAAGTTTTGTCTCCTGTCTAGGACTTCGATCGACCGAACAGTGCGTACATGTTGTTGTACGAAAGGTCCCGTAATTACGTATGTATCTTGGCTTTGTTCTTTTCGACAATAACGTCCTCTTTGCAGGCTCCGATGGACTCGCCAGCAACGACATCTCACACAAAAGGTAGTTAGTTGTGTTCATGGATTCACGAATTATTTTGCTGTGTAATGTATCAGGTGAAGGCGATCAAGTAATGAAGGATAAGTCGATTATGGATCGACTATTTACAGGGTATTTACTAGTTTTCATTGTCGGTACATTTTGAAGTTCTTTTTGTTTTTTTTGTAGGCGCCTAAGAATGCCAAGCTCAATACATCGAAGCGTTCGAAAAGAAAATCTAAGGTTAGGCTGTGGGATCTATTCTTAACTTTGCGGACTCTAATGACGTATGGGCTTTCAGATTTGTACACGAGAATCATCTCTTGGATAAGGATTATTTTAAGTTTCTTTACAGTTTGGTGGAGGCTAACTCGGATGTAATTGAGGGAAGGTGCGTTTTCCGGTCTTCCAATGTCTGTTATAAACTATCGTCTGCAGGACTCCTCGGTATGTTGGTGGACCTGACGACAGCCGAGACAGGAAGGGTGAGACAAGTGGACGTAAAGCCGATTTAGCGGCCAAGGACTTGAATGCTAGCGATTTTGCAGAGCATAGTATCAGGATAGCTTTAGAATTTTTGTTTAGAGTATATTTGAGAACGCACGGGAGCCTTCGTGAAGACTTTCATCAATGGAAGGTAGTGGTATGATTTCGTCAATACCGTTTCTTGCATTGTTTCTAATCATTTGCTCTGTAGGTAACGATCTGGAAGCTCCTGGATCACAATATAATCGCCTGTCGATGTTTTCTCAACACGCTGGTGGAGAGACCGCAATGGGTGCAGGATTTCCTCCTTCGGTGTCCCGTTGAAGAAGTTCGACAGGTATGACGCTTTTGTTTCATCCTTTGTAAGTTTTCCTGATATCGTTCCATTTAACAGGCTTTTGCTGCTCTTCTCGTCCATGCTCTAAAGACGGCCGTAAATATTTATCAAGGGAACGTGTTTTATGTGGACAATTGTGGTAGACAGCAAGACGCTTTGCATGTCGACGCCATGGTTGACACGCTGGTAATACTGCTGAGAGAAGCCGCGTCACCGAAGTCATATCTCCAACAGGTTTACAGCTCAATTCTCTTATAGTTGAGACTGCAACTAAAGTCTGTTGCAGTATTTCCAAGTTCTTTTGGACTACGTAAAACTGGGTCCCTATCCACGCCTACATTTGCTTCGGAAAGCTGTTGTGGGTCATTTGGTGCGTTTCTTCTGTCTTTTGAGATTCTCTGGCATTTGCTAGACACCAAATGCTTTACGCAGGTGACATTTGCAACTAAATTCCAAATAGCAAAACAAGATGCGGTGTACCTCCACACGGCCGTCTCTTTGCTTGTGAGGAGCTGCGATGCTAGTAAACTTTATGGTAAGCTGATTGCTCTAAAGTTGTCCAGATTGTCTGACGCTAAATTATGACAGACGAACCGGAAGTCGACAAGAAGTCGGACACCGAAACGAAGCCCTGTCAATCGAACCCTCAACAGTTTTGCTCCTTGTGTTTGATTCCAAAGGATGCGGCCGAAGGTGTCTTTAGGCACCGAATGTACACTTCAATTTTGGTATGTGGCGCTGCGTACTCTTGTCTGGAAGGCTTAGTTGTTTTTCTTTCCTGTCTACCAGATCAAGACATGTCCAGAACAGGAGGAAGTTATTAGACTCGTGGAATTTTGTTCCTGGCGTAATGAAACGTTTAGTGTGGTAAGTTGTTGCTCGTTCGTATGTTGGAAGCCGAACTAACTGTGACTCCGTGCAGGCCGTGTTGCAAGATGTAATGGAGGCCCTTCATCACGCTGTAAATAGTGAAGCATTGAAACCTATTCTATCACTGGCGTACAGACTTTTGCAACTTGGAGATAGCTTGCAAGCGGTAAAGCTAAAGCTGATTTGTCACAGAGAACTGATCCAGCTGATGTTTTTATTCCCAACAGACGAGACAAGAGGTTCTTCTCCTCGGTTACGAGAGTTTCCCCAATGGAGTTCTGGACCTTCTAGTCAGCAAGGTACGAAACCAAAAGCTCCAGAGTGAATCTGACGTGTGTGTGTGTGTGTGTGTGTGCAGGCAGTAGCGGTCCACAAGAGGTACTGCCTGATCAAATTCATTGTCAAGCTGGTCGATTTGTTCCCCGCGTCCCGTGTGCACGTCCTAAGTCGGAAGCAGGACTGGAGGCGAGCCGTGGATTGGCTGCAACAGGAGCTCCACGGGATTGGGCTGAGCGGCAGCATTGCGCCGGTGTCCAACGAGGACCTCTCCAATGGCTATCTGATGAGGACGAGCACCGCGGAATGGACCTTGACATCGGCTCGCAAGCTGCTAAGTTGCTAGAGGATACAAATATCCCCATCTTCTTCTTTGTGTATTATATTACCACAGGAAAAAAAAAGAAACTATCTTCTTCAGGGCAGCCCCACGGCTAATTTCCCCGCGTGAATACGAAGAACATGGATTGTCCTTGCATTTTAAAACAGATTAGTTGAACAGCTCGCTCTTGCTTCTGTCTCACAGCTCTTGGTTTCGTTCATTGTCTCTGGCGCGGCTCTTGCTCTCTTGCTTCGTTCACCACGGCTCCTGGCGCAGCAGAGATGGATAGCGCTGAAGCTCTACACCGGCCACGCATTTCGATGAGCTTGTTGGAGAGGAAGACACCGCCGCTGGAAGAGAAATCCTTTCAACTCACAACGCATGCGTGTAGCAGCGACGAAGAAATCCGCCGCCATGGATTGGAAGCACTGCCCGGCCTCGCCGATCGATCCCGCGTGGGAGCACGAGCTCGGCACCGCCGCGAACGTCACCGCGTTGGCGATCAGCTGCTTCGCGTGGAAGGTTTGGATCGCCCCGGTGGCGCAGCCGTGGTTCGCGAGTCCCACCAGCATGGAGTTCCAGGCCACCGTGTTCTTGGCAGTGATCCTATCGAAGCATCGCTCAGATCCCTGGCGGCTGTGAGTGTTTGGACGCTCTGGACGAGCTCTAGGCATTTTCTCTTGGGTAAGTTTTTAAATTTTCTTCTTCCTTTGAGTTTCAATTATTTTTCATGTTAGCTTTGTTACTTTGGATGCTTATAACTTCTACAAGAGTTTCTAGCTTTCATCTGCGCTTTGGAGTATTTCATGTGCCTGAAGCCACTTTAATTATCAAGGATCCAAGGTCTAGAGACCCCAGAGCTTCTCCAGAATTTTCCTTGGTTGTGGACACAGGTAGCAGGTTCACTTGGGTGCAATCCAACGAGCTCCAAAAGGCAAGAGTAGCTGAATGGTTTTAGCGAATATCAATGTGCTGACTTTGCTAGTGAATGGGATTATAGTTATTCCCAGGGGCGTTGTAACATTAACGTGACTTATGGAGGTGGTGAAGCGGGCATAATAGGCTATATGGCTGAGGCATATGATATAGCAATAGGTGGTACCACAGGAATTGTAGTACCGCATGGGCTGTTCCTTAATGCTACTCCATTGGGCAAAGTGACCAGGATTGCCGGAATATTGTCTCATGGGCTTCATGAATCTTCTTTCTTCAGCCAGATGAGCAGGACAAATAACATCAAAAGCATGGAAATCTGTAGCGTTTATAACGAGACAACAGATCGCTTGAATGGGACGATGCAATTTAAGGGTGGTGCATTCGACACAAAGCGGCTACAAAGGATTAATATTACAAATTACGTTAGAAATAATCATTGGGGAGTTCACCTAAATAGCATGACAATAAATGGGTTCACTATAGGAAAAGAGTGTGATCAAGATGTTATTTTAGACACAGGAAGTTCTTATGCTGCATTGGCAGGTGACTGCTACAAAACAGTCAAGGATACCTTTATCAAAAACATTCCTTGGCCTGTTTATAAAGCGCCAGAAAATTACTCAACTTTTAACAATGACGAAGATGTAGAAAACGACCAACTATGCTACGACATAAAAAATGAAAGGTTTAGTGCTTGGGCTGCTAAAATTAAGTTGCCAGAGACTTCACTCAAATTCAGCATGCCTGGTGCCAAATCATCTGTTGATTACGTCATCATGCCATTAGCAATCAAAAGCAGCTTCAGCGTTTCAAATCTTGTGCGGGGAACAAAGCTCGTCTGCTTCAGGTTTAAAAGAGCTCCTCCTGGTATGACCAACCACGTTTTAGGAAGCTACACAATGCACAATCAAATCATATCTTACTACAGGGACCGGTCTGAAGTTTCGATTGGATTCAAACCAGTAGTTTCTTGCTGAATTGTGAATAGTTTCTAGCAACCAGTCATGTAAACGACATGAATGACTCCTAGTTTTCTTATTGGACTTTTTTTTTCTCCCAGTCTTTGGAGGCAGAGCTCTGATGGATTGCTGCTTAGCGACATAGAAAAGGAATACGTCATTTTTATTTGTAACGAGTCAAAACTGGCTTTGGAAAGGAGCCTCTCTCTCTCTCTCTCAGACGTTCTCTCAGAGTAGAACTTAGTAGAACAGTCAAACCTTGGTTTGATTGAGCGACTGAAGCACAAACGCAGCCCTGTAAACAACAAAAGCAAAATTAACAAAAAGGAAGTACAACAGAAGTAATACCTCTTTTTCCGCTGTTCATACCACTCCAGAAAACGCCTCATCCCCGTGTCAAAGCTGATGTAGTGATCCAACAGATAGAGCTGAGTAGGAGCAACGTAAGAAACTTCCCATGGTGGCGGATTCAGGTTGTCCGCCTCCTCGACCAATGCCTCCTTGCCTGTCAACCTGGAAACGACCTCGATCACTTGCCTGAACGATAGAGGTGGCTCTGGAGTGCCGATGTCCACCACAGTGACAACACCGGGAACTTGAGCGATTCCCAACACCATCTGTTTCATGACTTTCACAGCATCATCGACGTGGATGTAGTTCTGGTTTCCGATCCTCTGCCGCCAAAGAGGGACCTTCTGCCCGCCAACAATCTGTTCGGCAAACTTGAAATACGGGAAATCAGGCCGTCCGAACTCTCCATAAACAGTACTAAATCGCCATTCGATAACAGGAAGATGTAGATGTAGTTATCTTCAAGATGAAGATAACCCGCCTTGAGAGCTGCAAGTTCTTCCCCCGATCGAGACGACGGCATGTAGAAGCGGTTGGGGCTGGCAAAGAAGACACCACGCACAGAGTCGCTCGTCGTGGCTGCGTCGATGGTCCCGCCCAGAGTGCGCTGGTTGATGGGCAGGCAGTAGGCATGCTCCTGCTGTGAGAAATCCTGGGGCCTGGCAAGCTTGACCACGTTGGCGACCAGATCCTTGGCAGTCACATTCCCGTAGATCATGTGCACTCCAGCCTTGTCAAGCAGCCTGGATCTCTCGGTGTGTCTGGCATCGATCCCCACAACACGGACCTTGGGCTTCTCATTTCCCTGCAAACCCAGAGCAAGGTGATAGCCGAGGAAGCCGCTTGCCCCCACCACGACGACCCTGATCGGCTTCTCCTTTTCCTTGCGGAGCTGGACAGTCATCGAGATACCCATGGCGAGCATGGCGGCTGCAAGAATGGCGACGAGGGCCAGCATGATCTGAAGCCACGAGAAATCACCACCTGAGCGCCTCCGAGCCAGATGCGTACGACAGGCGGGGATGATCCCGATTCCCCTCACGGCCAGCTCCATCGCGCGCTCCATCGCGCGCTCGCTAGAATTTGCCAAATGTGAGCGCAATGTTAAGGCTCAAAAGACTAAAAGAAAAGAAAAGAAATAAATTTTGCCAAGGGGATAAAGTTATATTCGTCACGTATCTTAGGCCGGATGTTTCCAGAGATGGAGGTCCAGGGATTCTCACAGAAGATTGTTGAGGCACTTCCGATCCATAAGGAATGCCTGCTCCGAGGATTGCTGGCGAGTATGCCCTTTCCCCCGGACGAGGTGGCTTGCAAGACTGTTCTTGCGGCGTGTGGATCTATCGCGATCTGGAGCGAGCAATCAGAGTCGCAGACGCGATGATGATTGAAAGAAATAAAATGACCTGTCCACTTACCAGAGTGTCTCCTGCAATCTCTGCAGATTGGCCTTTCATGCGATCTTCCTGTACATTTACGAATCCAACCTCTTAAAAACTTGGAAAGAAAGCAAAAGGAAAGAAAAATCTGCGGGTTTCTTACCATCTTCAAGAGGGCGACTTCCTTTGCCAAATTTTCAATATACAACAGTTCCAGGCAGTAGTTCTGAAAATGACAGAACAGTTGACATAACACAACCGAAAGAAACAACTCACTTTAAACATGGAACCTTCTCCAAGTGAGAGCTTTCGTTTCCCTGGCTCCTCCCGAGTTGCATGACTTCTTCGTATCCTTCGATTTCTCTTCCACTGTGGAAGCAATTTTGATCTGTAAATACCATGTTTAGCTGAGGAGAAACAAGAAAGCATAGCAAACCTGAATAGCAGTCGTAGCCTCAAGAAGCATCCTTTGCTGTCGCCCACTTGCTTTCGTGTTTCTACCTTCTTCATTGTACTGGGCTCATCAATACATACACTTTCTCAAATCAAGAGAGTACCTCTTCTTCCGAAGATTCCAGCTCCAACTCGTCACTCGCCAGATCTCCTTCCTGAGCACCAGCGTCACACGGAAGCGGTGGCTGGGGCACTGCTGTCATGGCCAACCCGAAAAGAAGTTCACACAAGAGCAGAAACGCTTAAGATGTTGTCATCCGGTGGAGGCTAAGCATATCTGAAACATAAGAAAAGAAAATGGACAGACGTAGTCTAGGTGATGTGGAAGATGGTTCACGCACGAATAACTTCCATCTCAGCACCTGATTAGGAGTAAATTATAATTTGACGAAACTACCCTAGTTTAGGGCTCGAGAAACACCATGTCTTTTTTATTGCTCATTGTCTTCGCACTTTTGCTAATTGGATGGGCAATCTTCCAACTGAAAAAGAAGAAGGAGCTTCGGGTTTTGATTGTGGGTGCAAGTGGTTTCCTTGGTAGCCAACTTGCTTTGGGATTGGCGGCACACAATCATCGCAACCTCCGATTTGTGGTGACAGGTTTGGATTTGGTGCGTTCAGAGAGGACTCTTCTTCTGGAGAACAAGGGCATTGAAGTGATTATTGGAAGTGCAACAGATCCAAAGCTGGCCATGTCAGTGACGAGGAGTAAAAAGCCAAACATTGTGGTAGATTTTACACAGCAGGAGCATAGCTGGAATTTAGAGGACAATGAAAGAACTATAAAGTCATTGATTGATGCAGCATGCAGTGGTCCATCAACCCAAGGTTTCTTTTTTGCAAGCCCTAGTCGGTTCTACATACCATCAAGCCGGTCTGGGGAAAAGCTGGTGGAATCTTTGGCACCAGAGCTACCATTTCCAATTGTGGAGTGGAGGTTTAGTACAGTTTATGGGAGATACGGTCGTCCTGACTTTCCATATTACACATTTGTTGATCAGATTGTGCATGGGGCTCTGGTTCCACTCAGTAGAGGGCGACAAAATTATATATACATTGATGATGCAGTGACTGTGATGATCAATAGTATCTTGTCAACTCACAGCATTGGAATGGTGAATCTTTTTGACATTGGGACACCATGGCGGCCTATCTCTTTTAGACGCGTGATTAAAGCTATTGCAAAGCTTACAAACAAGGAAGCTAATGTTGAAGAAGTAGCTAATTTTAATCGGCCACCCTGGGAGGTACCTTATGAACCTCCAACAAAGCTCTTGCTCCTTGAATCATATACTCCATTTGAGACTGGTATGAGCTCATTCATAGAGTGGTTCCAGAAGAATAAGATGTGAAGGATAAACAATAAATCATTTATACTAAACTACACTAAAAGTAAATAAATTTTTACTTAATGAGTTGGACAATTGATTATCTCCAGCCGTACTACTTGTCCTAGAGCAAGCGCAAGAGTGACCAGAGTGGAATCAGGCAAGTCACCACCATCTTACATCATTTAAGGTCAATAGTTCATTAAGGTTAAGTTTAAGGTCAAGCTTTGAGGCAGTTAGTCCATATGTCTATTATACAATTGAAGGTACTTCTTGATGTATTCCTCTAGAGATTACTAGTGACATGACACTAGGGTTAAATCTCAAGAGGATCAAGTTCTTATGGAATGGCCACCAAAAGGTATATTTTATCCTTTATTCCAACTTCATCTTAAGCCATTCAATCAAGTATTATTTTCCCTTTGTATTTCTTCTTCATTTTGTGTTAAATGCCTTTTTACAGCCTTATCAAATACTCTTCTCATACCACCACAAACCATTGTAACCATTTCAACTCTAAACTTTCAAACTTTAAACCATTTAACTCTAAATTTTCAAAATCTAAACTAATCAATTCCAAGTCGAGCAAAGAAGGAAAATAATATGGTGTAACAAGAGGTGAAAGTAGAAAAAGTGAAGGATGAAAAAGGGAAATGGGTTAAGTGGAAGGACCATTGGGTGTTACAGTTAATCTACATTGAATTTGAGATAGAACAATTACATTACATCAAATTTGAGATGGAAGATGAATTCAAAAAACCTCCAAAGCAGGGAGTAGATATTTGGGGCAAATTACTTGCTAGACTTATGAGTGTTTGTCTAGACTTTGACAAGGACTTCATAATTTGTAGGAATAAGTGGAAGAAAATGTGGAAAGATTATATGGAGGATAAAGCTTACAACAATATCTTTGGAAATGATAGGTAATTGTTTTCCCTTTGATAATATCTCTTTCATTTATTTTTTCTTTTCAAAATATTACATGTCTAAGAAATGCAAGTTTTATCATGCTAAATTCTCAAAAAAACCTTAAATAAAGAAAGTTGTTCATGCTGGATTTTTTAAAGAACCATTAGAGGTGGTGAATGTGGAGTAGAGTACTACTACTTATACTATTATTGTTACTAATCACACAAAAATGGACAACACTAAAGGACCAAATACTCAACACAAGAAAGTGAAGAAAGAAGATGATGGTGAGGATTCATTGATCAAGGTTATCAAGAACACTAGAGAAAAGACTATCAATTACATGGAATAGTCAATTTAAGTTATGAAAGGCATGTAAGTGTTCTTTGATACTTTTGTGAACTAACTTTGAGATGTTTTATTTGATTTTTTTAATTTTTATTTTGTACTAGCAAGATAATTTAATCTTCATCTTCTGAAGAATCAATCTCTTATAGAGATTGATCATGGACGAGTTGTTTTGCTCAAATTTGGAATAATGTTTGTGCTTGACAATCACAATGTTTGACATTTTTCTGTGCTTCTATTTTCAATCAAATTCCACTAGCTTTAAGTTGATCAAAGCCATCTAATACACGTTGTAATTCATCTCTAGCATTTACATTTTCTACTTTAATTTGATATAGTCTATATACTGTTGTACAACTGATTTATTTGACACCTTGTGCTTTAAGTGACTGAATGTGTTCTGATGCTTCCTTCTCAAATTGAATTAATCTTATTAGCTTCTTCTTAGCTTGATCAATCCATGAAAGATCAAATCTATTTATGAGTTATGCACATATTGTATAAGATACAACATACAGTGATGTGATTTTTGATATTGTCAAGTCTTGAATCATTTCGTTTCAAGAGAATCTAAAACCTAACAAAAAGCAACAAAATAATCATCTTTAATTATAATACAAAGAAAAATTATGTTGATTTAATATGCTAAAAGCTCTTTCCATTGCCATTCTTGTGTTTGATTAAATGAAGTTTCAATTTGTGCAGTTAGCTTTGGGTGTGGCATCTTATATTTAATTTCCTACATGATTTGTCTTTTGTTTCTAGGTTTACTAAAAAAAATTATTTTATTTTTATTTTTAATCCAAGCATGAGATTTTGACTTATTGAGGGTCATGCCAATATTTTTGGAAAATATCCCACACTATCATAAAGAAGTTTTCTTTTACCATATGTTCACATGCCAAAACCAATATTTTCTATGTATGTGTATTAATTGTTACAGGGGTTACATTTTATTTTTATAACATATGCTCTCAAAAAAAATACGATTCTATATATTTTTATAAAAAGTATGTTTAAATGCATTTTTAGTTTTTTTGGCATATGGCTTCATGCCAAACTTGATTCCTATAATACATTCTTGTATCTCCCATCTTTTTCATAGTACACAAGCTATTTGGTAGCACAACTCAAATAAACATTGATAAACATGATGAGACATTAAACAACCCACCTTATAATAAAAGTACCAAACCATGATGTAGATAAGAACAATTGGTATGTAGAAGAATAAAACATGTAATAATTTTTTTTTATATAAATAATATGAGACCAAGGGAACTAGGTAACATACCATAACTGGATAATGCAAATAGAAGAATAATTGATATGTAATATTGTGTTCTAAATAATATATTATTTAAATAGTATCTTCACCATTCAATGGCTAAAAATAATAACATCAATCCAACAGTTGTCTATCCCAAAAAGACAGTCCATAAAAAATTCAAAATGCTATGATGATTGACAAAATTATCTTAGTGGAAGAAATAGTGTTCACAACTACCTTATTAGTAGAAGATAAATTCAAGCTACTGATGCAATGTTTTAATTGAGAAAACAGTATTCAGAAGTGGGGTTGTTATTAATATGGTGGTTGAGGAGATAGTGTTCATAAGTGGGGCTATTGTCAATATAGTGGTCAAGGAGATGGTGTTTACAAAAAAGAGTTATTGCTAATGTATTAGTTGAGAAAGTAGTATTTACAATTTGAGTTACTAAAGGATTTATTACATACCAAAAATGTTGTAGAGACCATAGCGCATAGTGGAAGGAATTAATGTTTACAAATGGAGTTTTAACTAAATTTAAAGAGACTATGCATATTGAGGAAATGAAAATTGATGAGGAGATAATATTGACAAATGAAGTTGACATACTATATAAAGATGGACTTAAAAAAGATGGAGTTCAAAATTTTTTCTAAAACTCTAGTGTCATAAAAGAAACACAACAATCTGCAATAACACAATACTTATTAGAGTCTATATTACTAGAGCCCACATTTGTTAACTTTACTAGAGCAGTACACACTGGAAATGCACAGTAAAAATCTATATTAATATACGAAAATTGCCTAATATTTGCTAATGAATCAATGTTAGTTCACAAGCTAGTGACTACAAAAGGTATATATAATTTAACAAGAATTCCCAATTGAAATATAATATATACTCTTGGGTCCAAGATCCTTTTTGAGATATATAGTCTATTTACATTAATTGGTTATAAAAAAAATGACAAAGAGCATTTTTTTGTCATTTCAAGTGTTAAGGATTTTTATTGCATATGCATGACTTGACAAAGTAGTACAATGTCATGTGGGGTGTGTGGACAAACAATTAAATTTTCATCCTTATTATGCTCTAGAGAGAATTAAGTGCAAATAAATATTTTTTGATATAGTTTAGTAGGGGATAACATATGTAAAGCCTTGAGCTATATTTAGTCAAACAAACATTACGAATAACTTAAACTCAAAATAGAGGATATAGGTTTGAAACACTATTAAAGTTGTATGAGTGCCTTTGAGTGCTTTTGGAATTTCATGCTCACAACCAGTCTTTAGAATGGATAAATGATACTTACAAAGTGAAGAAATGAGTTATGATTAGAATTCACAAACATACATTTATAAATTTCACATTATTTAAAAATTCTCAGCAATATAGAAAACATGATTACTATCAAACACAGGAAAAACACAATGATATAAAATTGGATCCATTTGATATTATCCTTGGACACATATTGGTTTATAGTGTCAAGATGATACATGAAGATTGGTATATTCCCTTGAGCCTATTAGCTTTTACGAGACTGTAAGAATGTCGCTGCCAATGATAGCACTGAAAATCTGTAATGATGCTGCTAGCATCTGGAGCGGGATGGGTGAGTGAAGGCGATGCTGCGCATTTGCTCAAGATGAAGCTCATCCTAATGAATATACTTGAATTTTGGTTGATTTTGACTGAGAAAATGCTATGCTTGGAGCACTTCCCGAGGCTGACAATCATGGATGAGCTCCAATGTATGGACGGTGTGGGAGCTTGGCAGAGTGCGGACCCAAACGATTCATTTGTGTGGACATAGGAATGCGTGAAGGGCGATCGGGTGTTCCTTCCACCCGCGGGGTCTGGAAACTCCAGGCACTTCTTCTTCCAGATTTCCAATCCAGATCTTGTGGTGGACAACGATGGTATCGCCTTATGCCCGGGCATCCGAGTGCCACGGAAATGGGCATGTTGAGGAGGCCAAGTTTGTGTTGAATTGTTTGCCAGAGACGCTTGCAGAACTGGTATATGAGACAAGTCTGGCTCATCTCTTGTGGTCTATGTTAAGCGCTTACATTAAACATGCAAATCTTAGTGTCAGTGTATGACTCAATGCCAAAGAGAGATCTCGTTGGAACACGATGCTTGATCGATATACAATGACCAGGCATTTACACAAACCTAAGATTTTGTTTGACTCACTGCCACAGAAACTTGATCTCAATCCAGGAACCTTGGAGATGTTTTATGACCATGCTTGAAAGAGACACTGTCGTGGTGCTTGCTGCATATAAATTTGGATGAATCCAAGCTCGACAACTTGGAATGCAAGCCTCTCGGCTTTTGAACCGCCTCAGATGCCAACGTGGTAATGCTGTCAGTGTGTGAGAGAAATCTCCTAGCTTTGTCCCCGGGGGCAGTTGAGAAGTCCAAGCTCGGGCCCTGAAGGAGTCTATGTTGGATAGGTGCTACCTGAGAGGCAAAACTGTACCTCTAACAAGAAGATATTTCTGTCAGAGGGTTGCAGTGGCCCCAACACTCAACCGGCTAAGCTTGGCCTGCTTGACCGGCTATTAGCATCCCGACCATGACGACGTCAAGCGCTAGCACGCTGTCTAGCCTCATGTTTTTTGTTACAAAAGTAAAGCTTATCTTGTCTCTCACCCTAGTTTAGGGTTCAAGAAAGATTATGTCTATCATCTCTTTTCTATTGCTCATTGTTTTCGCACTTTTGCTAATTGGATGGGCAATCTTCCAGCTGAAAAAGAAGAAGGAACTTCGGGTTTTGATTGTGGGTGCAAGTGGTTTCCTTGGTAGCCAACTTGCTTTGGGATTGGCGGCACACAATCATCGTAACCTCCGATTTGTGGTGACAGGTTTGGATTTGGTGCGTTCAGAGAGGACTCTTCTTCTGGAGAACAAGGGCATTGAAGTGATTATTGGAAGTGCAACATATCCAAAGCTGGCCATGGCAGTGACGAAAAGTAAAAAGCCAAACATTGTGGTGGATTTTACACAACAGGAGCATAGCTGGAATTTAGAGGACAATGAAAGAACTATAAAGTCATTGATTGATGCGGCATGCAGTATTCCATCAACACAAGGTTTCTTTTTTGCAAGCCCTAATCGGTTCTACATACCATCAAGCCGGTCCGGGGAAAAGCTGGTGGAATCTTTGGCACCAGAGCTACCATTTCCAATTGTGGAGTGGAGGTTTAGTACAGTTTATGGGAGATACGGTCGTCCTGACTTTCCATACTATAAATTTGTTGATCAGATTGTGCATGGGGCATTGGTTCCACTCTGGAAGCAACGGAAAGGGCGACAAAATTATATATACATTAATGATGCAGTGACTGTTATGATCAATAGTATCTTATCAACTCACAGCATTGGAAAGGTGAATCTTTTTGACATTGGGACACCATGGCGGCCTATCCCTTTTCGACGAGTGATTCAAGTTATTGCAAGGCTTACCAACAAGGAAGCTAAGGTTGAAGAAGCAATGAATTTTAATCCGCCACCCTGGGAGGTACCTTATGAACCTCCAACAAAGCTCTTGCTCCTTAAATCGTATACTCCATTTGAGACTGGTATGAGCTCATTCATAGAATGGTTCCAGCAAAATAAGATGGTTGTAGGAGTGAAGGATGTTGTCTAGAAATTCTGACGTTTTTTTCGTAAATAAAATTGACAGGGTAAAAAAACAAGAGTGGTCTAGAAATTCTGACACTTTTTTCGTAAATAAATTTACAGGAAAAAAACAAGAGAGATAAAGTTATAGCTACTCACAAAGATTTTTCTTCTTAGCCATTTCCTCTCTCTTCTTCTTCCAGGTTGAGGCAAAGGCTCAATCGCTAACATTACAAACTGCACGGATGCCCCTGCTAGATTGTTGTGTGCTGCTCACTTGCATCTACAGCTTGTTGGAGCCGAAATAGCATGTGGTTCTTTTCTTGGTTTCTTCTCTCAAACATCCTGTTTATTCCAGCAAACACTTGTTCTTTTTCTTCAATCGAGATGTACCTTGGCAGAGGAGTTCTTCTGCGAGCTGCTTAAAATAGCAGCTCATCTGTTCCTATTGAATCATGGTTACAGCTTGCGAAGAACAAACCTTGCGATAGCACACTCCATGCCACATCAATCAATTGTCCTCCAAAGTTATTCTTTAGTGTTTGCTTCAAATATTAAGAAATGGATTATTAGCATTAAGCCTTGATTCCAATGATTGAAAAATATCCTAGAATATTTTTAATATATTACAAGTTTAGGCTTAAAAACTCTGTAATACACCTTACTTGAAACCTTTAGAACTTCTATGCTCAAGATCACTGTGTTTCCACAGCTGATCATAAACCATTGCAAGATGCCCTTTTAAGCTAGCCAAAGCACTCAATGAAAACCAAACACTCGAGGGACTTGCAAACACATTTATATTGACTACTGAAAGCTTGAGAACATCATGTTCCCATAGCCAATCATAAGCTTAAAGAGATTCTTCACTATAACACTCTCTCCTCTCTAAGGGAGGTGTAAACTTCTTCTTAAGAGCCAATACACATGGTCAAAGGGTGAGTCCTGGTTTACCCCTGAATTTCAAACTTTTGCCTTCAAGCCCAAGATTCCCTAATTGCTTGGATATCCTTGCCTTAATGTTCTGGCCTATAAATCATGTTGTAGTTTTGCATTAAGCCACAGCCCTTAAAGCTTAGATTAAACCCAAGAACGGCACCAAGTTTTTCATTGCATATTTTCTTTTGATCTTCCATACTCTTTTTTTATCTTGTTCATCCCAGCTTCTTGAAGCTATGGAGTACATTGAATTTATCCTCAGAGCTCTTCACAATTGAAGTGTGAAATCACACAGCTTGCGCAACATCAATACTTCTAACTTAATTTCTTATGTGAAAAAAACGAGAAGCGTAAGAATCATAAGCAGGATGACTAGAGCAGCAATCAAGCACAGCTGACCTTTCAGTCCGGCCTTTTTCAGTACGTGCGCAAGTCGTTTCTACAGACACCGTGGGGGTTTAGACTCGCTAGTGTTTTGTAAAGACATTTACCTGAGCTAACTCCATTCTATTTGCTGTCCCGTCCATGTCTTTGTCAAGATCGCTCACAATCTTTTCCTGGTACAAAGAGAAAGGATGTTCATGAGGAGCCGAGAAAAGATCCATTACCTGGCCTGAGAGTTCCTCGTGAATGGTCAGTCCCACGTCGCCAATTCTCACAACGCTAGCACTGATCTCGTCCAGATCTTCGTCTTGATCCCTGCAGACAAACAAAGAAAACTTCCAATCAAGAAAGAGCTTTCGGCCAGTGGAAACTCACTTGAGAATTAACGCCTGACGCTCACTCTCCAGGGAAAGGAAATCATCGTTGCCTTCCATCAAACTCCGGTTGGCCTTTGGACCAGGACGATCATCTTCCATTCTCATGAGCTCTCGTCGTGTGGAACTGGCATTGCTTGTTCTTCCGTCATGCAAAGCTTTCCTGATAGTATCAATCTGGAAAGAACAAAAAACCACATTGTCTTCTAGGAAGAAGAACACGAAAGAAAAAAAATACCGTGTCATGTGTAGCAGTGGACCATTTCCTTCGTCGTCCAATCTCGGCAGCATCGATCCCAAACCGCGATGGATCCCGCTCGGCCACGGCGATGGCCTTATCCAGCTCGTTCACCTTGACAATCCAAAACAGTGCTCCTCAGCTCAGACAAAGATCTGCATAGCCAAAGCTCGATAGTCTCGAATCTCAAATTGCTCCTACAGTACCTGCCATTCCACGCTCTCGATGCCCGCAAGAAGATCTCGCTTCAACGACGCCCTCTCGCTCGCCCCCGTGCCCTGCTTCTCCCATGTCTCGAAATTGCCCTCCACTTTCTTCACCTGTGGAAATTCGAGGCGAGCGAGCGAGATTGAGTGGCAGATTCGATGGGGAGACTCACCGATTCATCGATCTCCTCCTTCACCAGGTAGAATGGATCTGCTGCCGACATGACCCCGCTTCTCCTCCAAAGCCCTAAATCTAGTTTGTAACGAATATGCTATTTAAACTCTAGGGTTCTTCCGGCCCTAGATTGTCAAACCAGCAGTGACTTGATTCTCGCGACAAATGCCTCGAGATTCTTCTGAGAGCTTCCACCCTGAGCAACAGCTCTCCTCGCCTTGGCTTGGAGCTCCTTGGCTCGGCTCTTCATCCCTTCCGCCCGAGGACTCTCCATGATTTCCCTCACACCTCGTTCCACCTCGTCGCGATCCACGAATCCATCGTCGTCGCCAAGAACTTCAGCTCCAATGCCGAGGCCATCGACCAGATATCTGCAGATGGGGGGCTGATCGGCGAGGAAAGGCCAGCCGATCACCGGCACTCCAGCCAGAGTTATAACTTCCAGCGTCGAGTTCCAGCCGCAGTGCGTGAGAAATCCTCCCAGCGACGAGTGAGCGAGTATGAGATGCTGCGGTGCCCAGCCGGGCAGCACGAGGCCCCGCTCCTCGGTGCGTTTTAGAAATCCCTCTGGAAGTAGAGCCTCGAGCTCCTCGATCGACTTGTTCTCCACGGGCACCACCCAGAGGAATCGCTGCTGGCTGGCCTCCAGCCCGAGAGCGAGCTCGCAGATTTGCCGTGGAGTCAAGAGCGCCCAGCTTCCAAACGAGACGTAGAGCACAGACTCCACAGGCTGCTCGTCGAGCCAGCTCTGGCACCTTTCTTCCTCGGAGCTCCTCAACACCGAGGATTCCTTGGTGGCGTTCAGTGCGTCTGGAGTGAAGTACTTCGATGGGAAGAGCGGGCCGATTGGAAGAAGCTCGTGGTGCTTGATCTCCTCGAAACTCTCAGCGAGTGCCTTGAAGATCTCGGGCTCCAGTTCCGTAAAGCTGTTGAAGAGGATTCCATCCGAGGAGAAGATGTGCTCGTTGAATCCCATATGAATGGGATACAAGCAGTGAGAATCATCGGTGATGGCGTCGTGGACGTCTCTCCGATACAAGGGAAGCAATCCTTCCACCTTCATGGTCTCGAATCCCGGAAATTTGACTGGGAGGAGTTTCTTCCTGTAGAGAGATCTCGCGTGGATCGTGAGAGCGAAGAAGCTGGGTCCGGCCGTGTAGAGGATGAATCTGGGGAGACCACTCTTCACTAGCGGTTCCTCGCTCCAGTTGAGAAGCAAGTCGACGATCACGCAGCAAGGGGGCGACGAACTCACCTTAAGTTCCTCGAGCAGGGCCGCGAGAGCGATCTTCTGCAGCGAGAAGTCACTGGGCCACTCATACCCGCTTCGAACCGCAACACGAAGTCCCTCCATCATACAGCCCTGTTGATCTTGCTGCTCTTGGCCGTGATCTTGGAGTGGAAGCTTGGTTAGAGTGATGGGCAGCCCTTGGAAATCCGTGGAAGCCACCAGCGAGAAAGAGGCCGCGTCTGGAAGCACCAGAGTGATGGATAATCCCATGGAAGCTAGCTTCTTAGCGAGCGTCATGGCTGGACTAATGTGGCCTTTGCCGCGAGAGGTAAGGAGAAGGACATGGCGACCGGAAATTTTCCCCGAATTCTCCATAGCTGTGCCTCTCTCTCACTGAAGATGGACAAATAGAAGCCACAGGAATCAATGCTTAATTAAGTTTTCTCTCGGGCTTTGAGCAAATAGGAAGAAACCAGCAAATCGGAAGAAACAATACGGCATCCATTGTCGCCAAATCTGATTCAAACACGCCCTCTCTCCAATGCAGTGTGTAACAAAGTCCGAGGCTCCTTTGTACCCCGTCGGTACCATTTCAGAATTGCCAGTACAAAACAAAGTTACAAGGATATATGACCGGTGCAAAAAATCTCGTATAAGGCTAGATCCGGTACGTTAGGATGTTATAAGGAATCCTGCCAATACATTCACCTACCTTTTGAGGATTAGGGTTTCATGGTTAATTATGTTTCATTAATTCTAATTAACAAGATTAAATAAATAATCATCAATCTTAGTTAACACTAACTAAACATAGTTACACTAAGTAAACTATGTCATTAATCTAAGGTTAGAATATTCTTTTACAATGTTCACGTGGGCTCTAAGGTTAGAATATTCTTTCACAATGTTCACGTGGGTGTGGGCATGGGCGTGAACATAGATTTTGGTGGGGAGATCATCTGGGAAATGGGAAGGGTGCCTGCAGGTAGGAGCAAGGCTGCTGCAAAAGCCATTGCTCAATCAAAGCAATCTTTGTTAAGTTTTGCCCCCATTGTGGAGAGAGGAGGTTTTGTAGATGAGGACAACCTAGAGGGGACTGAACCTGAGGAGGGATGTGAAGTGGGAGAAGGTGATGTTGCATCAGTAGAGGAGAAGGAGAAGAAAATTCGTAGGGGGAAGTGGCAACTTGCATAGGTCATAAAATGGTGGTGGTTGCATTTTGATCAGAAAAATGGTAATAATTTTCTTGATTTTTCATCTAATCCTACTTGCATTACAGCACTGATCTTCTGCTCAATATGCCGTGCCAACAAGAATTGCAAGAATCCATTTGGTACATCAGGTTCCACCAACATGAAGACTTCAAGTTTCCATGCTCATGGGCAAACAAAAGATCACAAGCATTCCATTTACATAGCTGAGGTGAAAGCTGGCGGTCAATCCTCCATGGCAGCTGCAAATGATCAGCAACAAGAGGCAGC